TCGTTTCGAGACTAATGGCTTATTCAGCATTGGACCGGGCTCTCCCTTCTGATGCAGCAGAGCCGCGGCTCCCTTCGGTCACAGCAGGAGCCCTCCATCTGTTGTTTCAAGATTCAAGGCTTATTCAGCATCGGACAGGGCTCCCCCTTCCGGTGCAGCAGAGCCGTGACTCCCTTCGGTCATAGTGAGAGCCCTCCAACCGACGCTTTAAACAACGCCACGTATTCAGCAGCAAGAGGGACTCTCCCTTCCGGTGCAGCAGAGCCACAGCTCCCTTCGGATGCAGCGAGAGTCCCTCACCTGGCCTTCCATCGTGCTCCTCATTCGGCGACAGGGAGGGCTTGCCATCTGACGAGGAGGGTCGCAGCTCACATTTAAGCACTTCACGACCCCTCCCAGTCAACCTGCCGCCTCCTCGCACACCCTACTTTTCTTCATGGCACACATATTTTTGGGGGGCTACTTTTCTCTCCGGCTGCTGTCTCATGCCATTAGCTTCTTTGGGGGAGTTCTCTGGGTTCGGGCTTTAACCCGAGCTCGGAGCCCTCCCTCTGGACAGCACGCCAAATATGCTACTAATTGCTTAATCACATTATATGTTAGTGTGAACTCGTGAAATTATGTTTTATTAACAAGGTTTGGGAGGAGCATGCACAATGACAGTGAAGCAGTGAAGCAAAGGACAAACCCATATCTCACCTGCCGATAAAGATCTCACGCTGACCACTGGCCACATCTGCATCACACAAGTCACTTTGCATACGGGTGAGTGGATGGCGGTCTCCAGACAGTGCATCACATGGGATTGACACATCAATGTTGCTCTTACTCAGGCGCTTGCTGCCTCGGAGAGTGGGGCTCAGAAATCTCACCACACCTGGCTTTTCCTGGAAAAAAACAAAAAAAACGCTGTATCCAAAATCAGTTGTACAGCCAGAAGTGTACGTTCCTCATTATCAAATTTTCACAGTTGTGGGTGTCATCTTGCTTCCTTATTATTATTATTATTATCATTATTATTATTATTATTTTCATTGCTGTAGGAGCTAAATCTAATACTTTAAGCTACTGAGTTGTTTGATCCCAGAGTAATTAGGTTGACAAGCTTTCTTACTTTGAAGTATGTTGTTTACTTCCTCTATTAGAAATGAGAAGACCATTCTTCTGTTTGCATCACCATACACAATTTATTGACTCCACAAACCACCAGCGTGCATAATGTCCAATTTAGTATCCAATAGGCATGGGCCAGTATGAGATTTTGACGGTATGATAACCCTAAGCAAAAATATCACGGTATCACGGTAATGTTGTTACAGCTCTAAAATGTGTTATTTTTAAATGACTGGGTAAAAAAAAGCTTTTTTCCGCTGAACACAATATATTTTGTTTTTGAGCAACATACAGAATATTACGAACACTAGAATTAGTTTATTTTTTCTTTAATTTGTTTCCTAAAAAGAAAAAAAATAAAGACTGACATCTTTATTTAACCTAAATCTGTAATTACAGTTATTTAATTTTAGTTATATAATTCATATACTTATCATCTATATTATGGCTGCACGATAAATCGCATGCGATATTTAACGCGCATCTTGTCAGTAAAGCCATTCTGTAATCAGCAGTAAATCTCCATCACGTGCGGGCTTTCACATGGAGCAGCATTAACTACACAGAGCCGTTGTTCACCGACAAGCTGCGAAAAACATGCGCAAAATATGATCGTGGTCTTGTGCAACTTGTCAGTGAACAACGGCTCTGTGTAGTTAATGCTGCTACATGTGAAAGCCCGCACGTGATGGAGATTTACTGCTGATTACAGAATGGCTTTACTGACAAGATGCGCGTTAAATATCGCATGCGATTTATCGTGCAGCCCTAATTTATATTTAGTTATGTAATTTCATATACATAATTTGATTTAATAATAACCCAATTTCAAGCAAAAACAGAATGTTCTGTGATTAGCTTTGTGAAATTATACTACATGCCTGATGAAGTAAACAGCATATGCTCTGAATGAGATGCAGATTCACTCTCTGACAGCAGGAGGCACTTCTGGAACACCAGATACAACGTTTCCTTGGTTACCTCTGTAAACAAAGCAGCGCTGCGCTGAAACACTGCTTTAATAAGGACTTTAATTTAATTAATTAGTCTCCTCTGCATCACCCTGTAAACAGCGTATGCTGTTCTGTGTCAGCTGTGTCATGCCAGATATGCTGTTTCCGTTCAGATCAAATCACAACAATGTAGGAAACAGCGTATCCGGCATGACGCAGCTGACACAGAACAGCATACGTTGTTTACAGGGTGATGCGGAGGAGACAAACTGTTGAATAAAGTTTTTTTTTTTTCTTTTGCGCACAAAAAAATTCTCGTTGCTTCGTATAATTGCGGTTGAACCACTGATGTCACATGGATTATTTTACTGATCTGATTTTACTGAGTTTCTGGACTTGGGAACATTTCAGTTGCATTGCTGTCTATACAGGGTCAGACAGCTCTCAGATTCCATCAAAAATATCTTAATTTGAATTTCGAAGATGAACGAAGGTCTTATGGGTTTGAAAAGACATGAGGGTGAGTAATTAATGACAGCATTTTCATTTTTGGGTTAGGGTTAAGCAACAACAGCTGATGGAACGGCAAAAAAAGTGTGATTGTGCAACTTAAAGTGCTACTTCATGACGTGTATATTGTAACGGTCTTCTACGGGAGTACAGCGAGCTAATTTGCCATAGACTCTACTACGTGACAGATTAAAAGGCGAGTGTATTTTGCATGGTAAATCTAGGTTGTTAGACTTATTGGCATCATACAAGACTAAAAACCATTCTTCTGACAATAAGTTGTCTTAAATGCCAAAAACACTCCGGCTACTGACGTAAGCTCAGTTCCCTGAGATAAGGGAACGAGCGTTGTGTATGGGGAAAACTCCTGTTTTAACTCCGTACTGAAGTCTGATTTGTTCACGTTTTTGTAGCTGCACAAAGCTATGGTGCTTTAGCCCGCCAGAAAGGGTGGAGCCAACGTGTATGTAAGTCGGCTCGCAGCGCCATTCATAAGGCCATTCGACTGAAGCGACAGTCATCGATTCGTGCAGCTTATAGCACGGCAAGTGACACAACACTCGTTCCCTTATCTTACGTCAGTTTCACATTGTGTATGGGGAACGCATCCAATCACGCCGTGCTATGAGCAGATACAGGATCTCCTGCTCTGTGAGCCCAGTCCCGGAGCACTAACAAGGACCCCAAAAACCTGAGCACATTGTGCCCCAAGCTGGTAGCTGAGGGCTCAAATATAACCACCTTGCCCAAGGGGAAGAGTGGAACTTTAAACAGATAACACTCGCCCCTGCAAAGCAAGGACATCTAAGTTATAGAATCTGGCAAATGTGGACGGCGACGAACAGCCGGCGGCCACACAAATCTCCCCAATAGATATTCCGCTGGACCACACCCAGAAGGAGGCCATCCCTCTTGTGGAATGGGCCCTCACACTTATAGGGCATTGCAATCCTTCTGATGCGTATCGAATCAACAATCCAGCAAGAAAGTCATTGCTTCGTGCCCGGCAGCCCTTTATGGCGGCCTCCAAAGCAAACAAATAATTGCTCAGACTGCCTCAACCGGCTAGAGCACTCCAGGTATACTCTCAGAGCCCTCACTGGGCAGAGCATGTTTGGACCCTGCTCACCATCTGTAACGGGAAGCGCCAGTAGGGAGATCACCTGATCTCTGAATGGAGTTGAGAGTACCTTAGGAACATAACCATGTCTCGGTTTTAGGATGACCTTACAGTCATTAGGCCCAAACTCGAGACACGAGGCGCTGATCGACAGCTGCCCTTTTAGGGCCCGCAGGACTATAGACAAGTCCCAAGATGGCACAGTCTGAGGGCAAGGAGGATTCAGCCTCTGTGCACCCTTCAGGAACTTAACGATCAGGTCATTCCTGCCGATTGAATGGCCAGCTTCGAGAGAACGATTCGCTGTGATAGCTGCCACATATACTTTGAGCGTGGAGGGAGCAGCTCTTGCAAAAAGGTCAGCACGTGGGACACATCACATGATATCGGGTCCAAACCCCATGCAGAACACCAAATAAGGAAGACCAACCATTTTTGTCTGTAAAGTCGTCTTGTAGACAGCGCTCTTTCCTCCAAAATGGTATTGCTCACTCTCGCTGGGAGCGGATCAAGCCCCCGTCGAGGCACCATACATGAAGGCTACACAGCTCCGGCCAGGAATGTCAAATCATGCCTTTCGCCTGCAAGAGAAGGTTCCTCCTCAGCGGAATGGGCTACGGGGCTGCTGCACTAGCTCCGGGAACCAGGCCTGGTTCCTCCAGAACAGGGCCACTAGGAGGAGAGAGCACTTGGTCTCCCTGACCCACCTGATGACCTTAGGAATCAGGGTGATCGGGGGAAAAGCGTATAGGCGAGCACTAGGCCAATCGTGGGCCAGAGCATCTCGCTGTATCGAAAAATATGTTGGGCAGTGAGAGTTGTCTTCTGAGGCAAAGAGGTTGACCTCTACCTTCCCGAAGACTGACCAGATGTCTTGAACCATTTGAGGGTGTAATGCCCATTCGCCCGGGGCTACCTTGCCTCTGGACAGCATGTCCGTGCCAAAGTTAAATCTGCCCGGCACATTAACCGCCCTTAGCGGGAGGAGTTCCCTGTGTGCCCAAAAGAGGAGGCAACGAGCCATCCTGCAAAGAGTGTGTGACCTGAGACCGCCTTGATTATTGATATAAGCCACCACTGTCATGCTGTCCAACCGGACCGAGACGGGGTGGTTTTCAGGGCTAAGAAAACCGCCAACATTTCTAGGCAGTTGATATGCAGGCGTTGCTTCGGGGCTGACCAGCAGCCGAAGGCCGAATTGCCCTCCAGCAGGGCGCCCCAACCAAGAGTTGGAAGCGTCCGTTGTGACTAGCTTCCTTCTGGAGATCATGCCTAATCTCATTCTTGTTTGGAACAAGTGAGAGGTCGTCCAGGGGGCCACAACCTTGACACAGAGGTGGTCTACCCTGGTGGTGAAGCTGCCCCAGGCGCCAGGTGTGGGGTGGAATGCGGGCCTTAAGCCAAAACTGAAGGGGCCGCATGTGAAGCAGGCCCAGAGGGATCACAGAGGCAGCAGCCATTATAAGACCTAGCAACCTCTGAAAAACCTTTAGGGGGCGTGTCGTCCTCGGTTTGAGGGATGCTGCCAATCGCTGAATAGTCAGGGATCGTTCCGGCGTAACTCATGCCCGCATTTGGGCAGAGTCTAAAATTTTTCCCAGAAAGAACGCTCGCTGCCTGGGTAACAACTGACTCTTGTGAGGGTTGATGATCAACCCAAGGCGCTCCAAGTGGCTGAGTAACAGCTCTCTTTGAGCAGCCAACTCCCATTCGGTCCTGGATAGAACCAGCCAATCGTCGAGGTAGTTCAAAACACGGATTCCCATCTATCTCAGAGGGGAAAGAGCGGCGTCTACGTACTTTGTGAAAGTACGTGGGGTGAGAGACAGTCCAAACGGAAGGACTGTGTGCTGATAAGCCACTCCCTCGAACGCAAATTTCAAGAACGGTCTCTGATGGGAGGCTATGTGAATGGGAAAGTATGCATCTTTCAGATCCACAACCAAAAACCAGTCCTCTGGGCAAATGTGCACGAGGATCTGTTTTATAGATTACATCTTGAATTACCGGAGCATAAGCAAGTGGTTCAGATGCCTGAGATCCAGAATTGGTCTGAGCCCGCCATCTTTCTTTGGGACGAGAAAGTAGCGGCTGAAAAAGCCTGACTCGCTGTTAGCTGGGGGCACTATTTCCACAGCACCTTTTGCAAGCAACGTCTGCATCTCCTGTCAGAGAACGAGTGCTTCGTTGT